ATGATGCCCGTCAAGCTGTTGTGCCCAAAGTTCCTGGTGGGTCCGAGAGATACGAGGCAGGCTATTGGTTTGCGGACATATTGGTTCTCATAGCTTCGCATCACATCCCATCCCCTCCCATCCCAGCACACCGAATCAGATCACATGACAGAATACAGTAAAGGGAACACAAGACATTTCGATATGATGGTTGAGGTAGATAACAATACATGTGAAAAATGGAATGAGAATCCAACGTCTGAGCACAAGAAACTGAATAAGACTGCATAGCTTTTTCTAATTGATTAACTTACAAGTTTGTCAAAGATAAAAGTCCGGTGAATGTTGATGGTATCGAACCAGTCAGCTTGTTCTCAAGAAACCACATGCATCTCGAAACAGGGTGCAAAATGGAGCAAGGGGCAAACAGGGGTTTGTGAGTATGGGCATGCATTTCGCACCAGAAATACCAATGAAGCAAGGAGGCAATCGGCTGGTGCCACATGCACTCGGTCAGTGCCATGTGCACTCTCGATGTGGGACTGAAAACCCTAACGAACTGTTGAGTCGACTCATAAGGCAACTCGATGTTGAACCATGGTACTGAGGCCCTAATTCAAGCTACACTCAGTGTATTTCAAGCTAAGAGCTTATGTCAATCAAGCTCCAAATCACATAATGCGGATGGTAAACTTGCATTGTTAGACATCGCATGCATGAGAAGAGTCCGCATTATTACTTGCACTACTTTGGAGTGGTGTCAAGACCTCAGCAAGACCAGCAGTAGTGCAGCAATTGAACGCGGGACTGCACAGCACTAACATTATCAATCCAGCGATGAAGCACTATTCACATGGTAACCAAACAAGGAATGCCACTAACAAAACAATAATCACGGAAACATGTTAACTAAACATAATCATTCAAGGAGGAACACTACTCGCACATGTCAAGCAAACGAGGAATAGTACTAACAAGCCTTTGACGCTTTTGAGATTCCCGATGGATGCAGGGATGGTGTCACTTAAGCTGTTGTAACACAGCACCCTGATGAGCGAATCAACACCGAGGGAACGCATGCAGAGCAGATGAACCGACACAGCACATGAGGGGCAAGCGGGAATCGATGTCAAGAGGATCTCCCTTCTGTGAGTTCATAATTGTGACTCAGATTCAGGCGGAAAGTCATCGCAGGACCATCTCAACTTTCACCAGGGCCATGTGCATTTCCGTTTCTTTTCTCTCTTGTACTACCCAATACAACCCAAGCCAACCCAGGCCACAACACCAAGTCGGCTCAACTCGAACAGTTCCACAGCGTGGCTTGCTGTATCCCTTTATGGCTGATCCGCTGGGATCAGCTGAGATCAGCCAACCTGCTTGCTCGCATCGCAGTCAGCAAATAAGCTGGCTGCTGGTAGACTCGGGTAAACAACAAGGTGAGAAATACTTCCTTCCGTTTTGTCATGGATAGATTTTGGAGACCTTGAGACTAGTCTGGTGATCTCAAAACGAGCATGGTGATCTCGAGACTAGCCTAGTGAACTCGAGACTAGCCTAGTGAATTCGAGACTAGCCTGGTGATCTCGAGACTAGCCTGGTGATCTCGAGACTAGCCTGGTGATCTCGAGACTAGCCTGGTTATCTCGAGACTAGCCTGGTGATCTCGAGACTAGCCTGGTTATCTCGAGACTAGCCTGGTTATCTCGAGACTAGCCTGGTTATCTCGAGACTAGCCTGGTTATCTCGAGACTAACCTGGAAATCTCGAAACGAGCATGGTGATCTCGCGACCAACCTGCTGCTGGCATGAGAGGCATACAGGAAGATAAACAGACATCCTAGAGAGGCCTGCAAGCCTTGCGCTTGGAATTAGCTTGCTGGCTCAAGAAGAGCAACCCTTGCCTGCAAGCCATGCTACAAGCGGCAAGCCATGTATGCAGCAACTGACAAGCTCTGAAGCCCTGAATGCCAATACCCGGGCACGAAATCGCCTCTCCTTGGCTCAGGTCGGGTTGGGTTGTGCAGGGGACGTGACGAGCCTCTATTGCATCAAGGCGTGCGGGCTCAGTGGGCCATTTACACACAGAGAAAAAATCCGTTCTAAAGTTGCAGACATCTTTGAGTTGGGGTGTTGTTCGGATAGTGGAGAATGTGATGTGAGCATGTGAAGCCGTTGTGGTCGAGGAACTCACAAGCCGGTCAGCTTGGGAAGGTTGCCAATAGACGATGGTATCGGGCCAGTCAGGCTAGTGTTCCATAAATATCTGCACTCGAGAAAGGAAGGAGGGTTGTAAGGAATGAGAGACCGAAGGCTGGGTAACGACTTCTTCAGCTCGAATGGTTCACAGGCTCGAAAAGGTAACATGTCTTATGTTTTTTGTGCCTCAGAACCAGAAACACCCCAGGTCCAAGAGGCGTGGCACTCACAAGGTGTGAGTGACTCACATGTCTACTTTGAGTGCCTCGTATCACATGTCCACCCAAGGAGGAGAAGCACTCACAAGTAGACGAGGCTTTGGAGGTTGCTGATAGAGCTGGGGATGGCCCCATTCAGGTTCTCGCCAGAGATACTTCTGATGGGTGGACATTGGAATGGAGGAGAGGCCAGTTGCATTAGTAATGAAGGGAGAACATGCATGTGATGCATGGGTGTGGCATGCGTGTGCGGCATGCATCCACGTGATGTGATGCATGCATGGATATGATGCATGTGTGCATGTGACATTCGTCTGCGGCATACGTGCATGTAGCATGCATGTGATGTGACATGGGCCGTGTGCTGCACACAAGCATGCACGTCATATGCCTATGAAGCGTGCAGGCATGTCACATGAATATGCTGCATGCATCCATGCGACAGAGAGGAGTATGCTGCATGCTTATGACATCAAAAGCACACCATACGGCTTAGGACACAGAGGAACATCCAGAAGGTGATTCGAAGAGACAATCCATCATATGATTCTAAATGCATTTATTTGGATTGCGCAGACATCGCCTTAGCAAGCTGAATTGGTGTTCACAGAAACATGTGGAGTGAGACTAGGAATGGAAGGGGGGGAGGGAGAAAGAGGAGTGCGGAAAGAGGGGAGAGAGGAGTGAGGGGAGAGGGGAGAGAGGAGAGAACGACAGACACAGGAAAGGCATTGAGAGGTGCGGTGGATGGGGGAAAATGGGTTGGAGGGGAGGTATTGGGGTGGGGCTGGGGTGGGGCTGGGGTGGGGCTGGGGAGTTTGGGGGAGCGATTTAGGAAAAGGGGGAAAGGCTGCAAGCAGTGACAGGACGCATCAGCAAGGAGTCGAGCCGAAGCTCGCCTCGAGTTTTTTTCGAGCCATTCCATCATGCCACTAACTACTTCTTGGGAAAGCAGGCAGGTGGTATCTTGCTGCTGTTTTTTAGAAAAAGGGAGCTAAGGAAGAGTGTTGAGGGAGCGAAGAGGGAAGAAGGAGGAGCCGTGGTCCACTCCCATGGCTCTTTTCACGCTTCAGGGTGCATGTGGGTCCACTCTCCCATGGCTTTTTACATCTCACTCACAGAGCTTGGCTCACGTTGCCTGAAGCATCGCAGTCCACGTACATCAGAAGCATCAAAGTCCATCTGGGTCCATGAGGGCCCATCGGGGTCCATGAGGGATCATGAGGGTCCATGAGGGTCCATGAGGGTCCATGAGGGTCCATGAGGGTCCATGGGGGTCCATGAGGGTCCATGGGGGTCCATGAGGGGTCCATGAGGGGTCCACTCACATCTCTGTTATCATGCCCTGTGCATTGCACTTGACGCTGCTGGCATTTTTGCAGTCCCCACCAACCACCCAGCCGTCAAACGTTGTGCTCCACGCCTTCTGAAAATCTAGCAGGACTTGTGCTGGCGGCAGGAGGAGGGAAGGGGGGGAGTGGAAGAGACGAGAGAAGAGCTGCCACTGGATGAGAGGTGGGCCCCATATCATCACATTCCCTCCCACCTCATCACTTTCCCTTCCACCTCGTCACATTCATTCTAAACCTCATCAAATTCCCTCCCACCTCATCTCATTCCCTCCCACCTCATCGCATTCCCTCCCACCTCATCGCATTCCCTCCCACTTCATCGCATTCCCTCCCACCTGGTCGCATTCCCCTCCCACCTCATCACATGCTCTTTTTACTTCCTGCCAGCCAGTACAGGAAGGGCGCTGGAGGAACAGGGAAAGCGGACTACAACTTAATTGCGCCTTCTCTCCTCTCCCCTCCCCCTCCATTCCCTTCCCTATCCGAATCTCTCCGCTGCGCCTATCCCCCCATTTTGTCCCAGTGGCCCGTAGCGGGGCGTTCTTATATGGTGGTAAAACCATGGTGACAAATTCATGGGATGTATTTGTTAGAGGGCCCTACGACAGCAAGGGCCCTCACGATATGTTTGACTTGGCAGGTCGGCGCCTGGCGACCTAGTCTACTCGGCACCGACGTATGAGTTCGGTGGTGGTCGGGTGTGACTACGTGTGACTATGTGCAGCTGTGCAGGAGTCAGCGTGAAGAAGCACGAGTCTGCGGGAGTCGTTGGTGCTTCCTTGGGAGTCACACCAATCCTTGCTGTGTTGGTGGAGTGGTGTGCACGGAAGCGAGAAGTCGATGCTGAGTTGGGTTGGGAAATTGGCGAGGCGCGTTCGCTCACCCACACACCACTTTCGTGGGGTTGGGTTACTCGCAGCGCCCACGCAACCTTTGTCAAACCCTCGCTTGCCTATATCTATCTTGTGTGTTTGCTTGTATGAACTTCATAGTTGGTATTACAATTCTACTTGGCCCAATTGTGGATTCTCACTAAGTCCTTAGAGACGAACGCTACTGAAACGCTACCGAGTTGCAGGCGCAACACCGTTCTCATAGCAGACACTCTCTCGCTATCGCTACGCTCTCTAATATATTCCTTCATGGTGCGGTGAGCGTGGACCTTTACATGGAGCAGCCGAGCTACTACGAGGATGGGACTCCTCGTGTCTGTAAGTTGGTGAAGAGTCTGTATGGGCTCAAGCAGAGCCCGATGCTATGGTATGAGGCCTTGGATGGGGTGCTGCTTGGGGCTGGATGGAAGAAGAGCCAAGTGGATGAGGCTCTGTACTTCAAGAGTGATGCTGAGGGGGAGATGTGCTGGCTGCTGGTGTATGTGGATGACTTGCTTGCTGCCAGCCGCAGTCAGATCATGCTAGGGGAGCTGCGTGACCTGCTGCAGAGTGCGTTTCAGCTGCGGGAGATTAGCCCTGTGGAGAAGTATCTGGGGTTGCAGCTGATTCGGGACAGGCCTACGAGGAGGCTGTGGCTGCACCAGGGGGCCTATGTGGACAAGGTCCATAGGCGCTTCTTTGACGGGGAGCAGCCGCTGCGAGTGCCTCGCACCCCTCTTTCCTCTGACCCTTTCAGTGTGCAGACCTTCGAGGACGTGGGATGGCAGTCTCGCCAGGAGGAGGAGTACAGGCAGAAGGTGGGATCCTTGCAGTTCGCAGCCTGTACCACCCGTCCCGACATCTCGTTCGCCTGCAGCAAGCTGGGGTCGGGCCAGACTGTGCGGAGTGATCAGCACTGGAAGGAGTTGGACCGGTGCTTGGCGTACTTGGTGGGGAGCAGGGATGTGGCGCTGGAGTTTGGTGGTGGGCCGGAGTCCTTGGAGCTGGTGGGCTACGCCGATGCTGATGATGCAGGGGACAAGCAGAACAGGACTAGCACTGGTGGCTATGTCTTCGTGCTCGGAGGTGCTGCTGTCTCTTGGGCGAGCCAGAGGATTCGTTGCGCCACCCTCTCCTCCACTGAGTCTGAGTACGTTGCTGCTGTGGAGGCTGGGAAGGAGGCGTGCAGGCTGCGCTTCCTGCTGGCAGAATTTCAACTGCTGAGGAGTGAGGAGCCCACTACCCTCTTTGTGGACAACTCCTCCGCCATTTCAGTGGCAGGTGGCATGGGGCTCAAGGGGAGCCTCAAGCACATGGAGCGTCGCCACATGTGGCTGCAGCACATGGTCAAGCGCAGGAAGCTGCAGCTGCAGTACATCCCTACGAGCGAGCAGCCTGCTGACTACCTTACAAAGGCGTTGCATTTCCCCGCCTTCAGCCGTTGCTTCGAGGCTGTGGGGCAGGTGAGGCTCTCGAGCGAGGGGAGTGAGACCTAGACACTCCATGATGTGGATGGTGCCATGGCCTATCCATGGCTGGTGCGGTGCGTGATTGCACTTTGAGAGTGCTTCGTTTGTGTGTGTGTCCCTTTGTTTTGGTGTGTATGTGTGTATGCATGCCCTGTGATTATAAAGGGCCTTGCTGTAGTATGGCAGGGGAGTGTTAGAGGGCCCTACGACAGCAAGGGCCCTCACGATATGTTTGACTTGGCAGGTCGGCGCCTGGCGACCTAGTCTACTCGGCACCGACGTATGAGTTCGGTGGTGGTCGGGTGTGACTACGTGTGACTATGTGCAGCTGTGCAGGAGTCCGCGTGAAGAAGCACGAGTCTGCGGGAGTTGTTGGTGCTTCCTTGGGAGTCACACCAATCCTTGCTGTGTTGGTGGAGTGGTGTGCACGGAAGCGAGAAGTCGATGCTGAGTTGGGTTGGGAAATTGGCGAGGCGCGTTCGCTCACCCACACACCATTTTCGTGGGGTTGGGTTACTCGCAGCGCCCACGCAACCTTTGTCAAACCCTCGCTTGCCTATATCTATCTTGTGTGTTTACTTGTATGAACTTCATAGTTGGTATTACAATTCTACTTGGCCCAATTGTGGATTCTCACTAAGTCCTTAGAGACGAACGCTACTAAAACGCTACCGAGTTGCAGGCGCAACACCGTTCTCATAGCAGACACTCTCTCGCTATCGCTACGCTCTCTAATATATTCCTTCAGTATTCGTGTTGGGCTTGACACACCGTGACTGCAATGTGAGGGATGTCACCTCACGGTGACGCAGTGGGGTGCGGCCGCCGCACAAGGTTTTTGTAGCACGCGCATCGCAGTACGTGCTCAGTTTTACTCAATAAACAACGTCATCATTACTAAATCGCTGCGGGTCGACACGCACAATGTGACTTGGCGAGAGGCACACATTCGACGCATGAGGCCGCGTGCGTCAGCAGCAGCGCGCCGAAGGGCTGTTGCGGGCTTCATCACGCCGCGGCAATCGTCGCGGCAAGCCGCTTTCCTCTACTGTACTATCAGCTGGCTTCGACTCGCGCTAAAAGAAAGGGAATATCTTATCTGGGAAAATTAATCCGCTAGCTGAGGAGAGAAGGCCTAGAAAGGGGAAGTTTAGAAATGGGGTGTTCCTTCAGCATTTTCAAGAAAAACGCCTACAGCGAAGCCTTCGGTAGAGTGTGTCTGAAAGGGGTAGGAATTGCGTCTGCGGTTGAAGGGATTTGGGTACATGCCATGAGAGTCGGGATGGCCCACCGGTAACACTGAACCTGAGATTACCTTACAATTCAAGGGTTAGATTTTCCACAACACTGAAAATGATGGATTTCCCAAATTCTAAACCTGCTTTACAAAGGGCTGGTTTTGGGGCTATTCCTGAATTTAAAGCCAGTTCTATGCACATTCTTGAAATAAAGATAAAATTTTCATGCGTGCATTGGTTTGGCATATCCCTGTTATTGTAGCATCCATCGTTGCAAAACGTGTGTCTCAATAACTATACAACAGCGGAATGAATTGACTAGGCAGCAGTGAGGTACAAATGTCAAACCCTAAACTGCTGTACCTCATAGAGCACGCCCCACTATGGCCTACACATCATAGTTATAACTTTGACACAACCCCATAGGCTAAGTGGGGGACAACAAACGATCACAAGACCAGTCAATAGAAGCAACAAATCAAGCTCATGTGGATCTCAAGATCACCACACAGTCCGAGCACAAATAAGTGACCACAAGGCCAGTCCACATGCAGTGTTATAATAACAAAAGCAGTACAGTGATCACAACCTAGCAGCAGTAAACATGCAGGTATATGTATATATATATATATCAAAGTACAAGACAAAGTCAAGAGACAAGCAAGTGAGGCAAAATAGGCACAAGGCCTAGAGCAGTGCAGAAACGCTGATGATCACCACACCATAGGGACTTGGTGAAGATATCAGCAGTGTTGGCCTGTGAGGCCACGTAAGCAAGGCGAAGCTGACCACGCTGCTGTAACTCTCGTGCGAGAAAGTAACGAAGAGCAATGTGCTTCGTTATGTGCTCCAGTCTCTGATCCCGACACAAGGCAATCATGGCCTTGTTGTCGACGTACAGAACCGGAGGAGAACGAGGCCGCTCACCCAAGTCAGTTAGCAAGTAGGTCAGCCAGTGCAAATCTTGTGCAGCCATAGCCCCAGCGTAGATCTCAGCCTCACAGCTGGAGCTAAGCACAGAAGACGAACGAGTGGACATCCACGAGACAGCCGAAACTGGAAGTGTAACCCTGTGACAACCGCTGAGTCGCCTGGTCGTCAGCCCAGGGAGCGTCCGAGTGCACTGTGAGCACAACTGGGCCACGTCCTCCAAGCACAAGCCCCATGCCTGATGTACTGCACAAGTAGCACAGTACCCTCGTAGCAGCCCGGTAGTGCTCACGCCGGTGTCTCTCGGGCGCAACGTAGCGCGCCAGGATGCTGAGAGGGTACGCAAGGTCAGGTCGAGTGCACGTCATCAGGTACATGAGGCAGGCCACAAGCTCTGGATACGGACCATTCGGCTCTACGGACTCGTTCGAAGGTGGAGTTGAGAGCGAGTGTTTCGTAGGCAGAGGAGTGGACTGTGGCGAGGACAACAAGAAGTGGAAGCGCTAAAGGACCTTCTGTACCATGTGTGACTGAGTTAGAGTGATGGTGCGCGTTGCTCTGTCTCGGGTGATCTGCAAGCCAAGATAGCTCCGTAGCTCACCCAGGTCAGTGCGAGTGTGTCTCTTCTGTAGCTCCGCCTTCACAAGGGCCAGTGCCTCAGTGTCAGCAGTAGCAAAGACCAAGTCCTCGACGTACACGAGGATGTAGAACAGAGGCAGAGAAGGGTCAGTTCGCAGAAACAACGACGGGTCAGCAGTCGAAGGAGCAAAACCAAGAGCCGCAAGTGTCGTCATCAGTGTGTCGTGCCACTCGCGGGGCGCCTGACGAAGACCGTAGACTGGCTGGCGGAGGCTCCACTGGGTACCCTCAGGAAACGACCCAGTGAAGCCAGGTGGGCGGCGCAGCCAGATCTCCTCGTGCAGGCTGCCCTGCAAGAAAGTTGTCGAGAAGTTGAGGGAGTGCAGCTTGTAGTCACACTGTGCTGCAACGTGCAGTAATACCCGAAGAGTGGTCTTCTATGGGGTGGGGGAGAAGGTCTAGAAGAACTCAACCCCCTGACGCTGACTTAAGCCTCGTGCAACGTAACACGCCTCGAAGGCAGGCGGGGAACCTGGCGGCCGCTTCACCCTGAAAATCCACATGTCATCGACTATATTCGCCCCAGGAGGGGGAACTGTGTCGACGTAGGTGCCAGTGGACTTCCTGGATGCCATCTTTGCATCCATGGCTGTCTGCCAGTGAGAGGAGTACAGACCCGTGATCGCTTCAGCGTAAGAGCGCGGGGTCGGGATGTCCAGTGCATCCGGGTCTTCCTCAAGGGCAAGCAGCATGGCAGCGAGATGAGGTACAGCAGTCGCGAGGCACTTGAGCTCAAACTGCAGGTCTTCAATGACGTCACAACCAAGGGCAAGCTCACCCCCGACGGACGGAGGACAGTCAGAGTCAGAGTCAGAAACAAGACTCGCGAAGTAGTCAAGGCGGCACGCAGCAGCAAAGTACACGAGCTGAGTGACTAAGGCAGACGCAGCAGCAGACTCAAAAGTAGGGTCAGTTAACAGTGTGGCCAGACAACGAGTGACAGTCGGACTAGCCGCACGAGGAAGGTCAGACTCAGGGTCAGGAACAACAGGAAGAGAGGACGCTGGAGGAGACGGCAGGACAGGACGCTGTGCAACAGAGGAAGGACGAAGTGCCATAGTGTGAGTGCCTGGGACAGGTGGAGGACGAACACGACAAACATGACGAGTACTAGCAACAGGCGAGGGAGGGTGAGACACAGGCTCTCTATGCTCAGACAGGGAGTCTGACAACGGAGGGTATCGAGAAGGAACAGGCAGTGGGGATTCAGGTGGTAACTGTGTCTGAGACGGGTGAGAAGGCGGAAGCAGCAGAGGAGGAGTAGGACCAGCGGCAGACGGCTCAGCGGAGTCAGACGGAAGATGAAGAACCTGCTGAAGTGCCGAGCCAGGTGATGGCAGCGACGACTGCAGCTGCTCCCAGAAGAACGGTCGCCGCAGCCGCGGCTGCGCAGCACCCCCAGAAACTCCAGCTCTAGACCTCCAGCACCAGAACCACCAGCACCTCCAGCTCCAGCACCTCCAGCACCAGAACCACCAGTACCTCCAGCTCCAGAACCTCTAGCACCAAAACCTTCAGCACGTCAAGCTCCAGAACCTCCAGCACCAGAACCACCAGCACCTCCAACTCGAGCACCTCCAACACCAGAACCACCAGCACCTCCAGCTCCAGCACCTCCAGCACCAAAACCTCCAGCATCTCCAACTCCAGCACCCCTAGACCCAGCACTCCTAGAACCAGGACCCCTAGAAGGAGCACCCCTAGAACCAGCACCTCCAAAGTCACCACCCCCAGGACCAGCACCCTCAGAGCCTGCACCTCCAGCGTCACCACCCCCAACCGCACCAGAGTCCACTGTGACAGTCTGCAGAGGCGGCGAAGACGGTCGAAGCGGAACACCAGGAGGAGTCTCCAAGCGCGGAGAACAGCGAGAG